GGGGGTCTGATTTTTTTTAATTCTTTGTATGTTTTAGACAGAAGTCCTTTGTCTGAGGGACAGTTCACTAGGATTTTTTCTCAGTTTGTGGGTTTACTTTTCACTATGTTAGAGATTTCTTTTGATGTACAGAAACTTTTTAATAAGATGTGATCCCAGTTATTGACTCTGGGAAGTATTTCCCATGCAGTTTGAGTCTTGTTCATGAATTCCCTACCTATCCCTATGTCTTCAAGGTTTTTACCCAATTTGTCTTCCAATAGATTTAGTGTTTCTGTTTTAATATTTAGATCTTTGATAAATTTAGATTTTATTTATTTATTTATTTATTTTTATTTAAAGAAAAGGAAACAAAAGAATACATGGAGATAAAAAAAAGGTTAGAAATAATACAAACTTACAGAAAAACAAATGCTAAGAAATTGCTGGTTGATAAGTTACACATTGTCATCTTAGAAATAGCTGTTCATGTTATAGAATTAAAGTATTTAGAATGACATTCATAAGGTGACACTACAACCTGTTCTACTCTATGATCAAACAAAAGCTGAGTAATATGGTTATCAGTCCTACACATTTGTTTTACATCACAAAGAGGGTAAGATTAATCATATCAAAACAGAACAAAGCAGTTAAGAAAACAATTTAAAGAAATACAGATTTCACAGCAAGCCCACTGGAGATCTTCATTGTCTATCTAACTGTCTTTAGTTTCTTACAAATAGTTGTCCCCATCTTCACCCACTTTCTATACTTATTGCATATTATAGAACTAATCAAATCATTTTAGTTCCTCAAGTTTCAAATTAGGGAAGACAATAGTAACTATTTTAGTATAGGGAGACAGGCATGGGTCTAGTTTTAGTTTTCGGCATATGGAGAGCCAGTTTTTCCAACGCCATTTATTAAAGAGACTGTCATTCTTCCAGTGAACCTGTTTGGCCCCTTTATCAAAGACGAGGTGGTTGAGTGTGTTTGTAGCTGTGGTTGTATCTTCTAAACTATTCCATTGGTCTTCGGCTCTGTTTTGATTCCAGTACCATGTTGATTTTAATACAGTTGCTTTGTAGTATAACTTCAAGTCAGGGATTGTGATGTCTCCTGCCTTGCTTTTGCTGCTTAGAACTGTCCTTGCTATTCTAGGTCTCTTCTGGTTCCAGATGAATTATAGGATTTATTTCTTGAGATCTATGAGGTATGTTGATGGTATTTTTATTGGGATTGCATTGCATCTGTATAACAGTTTTGGGAGAATGGCCATTTTCATAATATTTATTCTTCTTATCCATGAGCAAGGGATGTCCTTCCATTTCCTGAGATCATCTTCAATTTCATTTTTCAATGTATTATAATTTTCCCTGTATAGGTCTTTCACTTCTTTTGTGAGAGTAATTCCTAAATATTTCATTTTCTTGGTTGCTAGTGTGAAGGATGTGGCTTCTCTTATTTCCTTCTCTGTGATTTTGTTATTAGTATATAAGAATGCTATTGATTTTTGAGTATTGTTTTTGTATCCAGCCACATTGCTGAATTTATTTATTATATCTAGGAGTCTTTCAATGGAATTTTTTGGGTCTTCTATGTAGAGTATCATATCATCTGCAAATAGTGATAATTTAACTTCTTCTTTTCCTATCTTTATGCCTTTTATTTTTCTTTCATGTCTACTTGCTCTGGCTAGTATTTCCAGTACTATATTAAGTAGGAGCAGTGACAGGGGACATCCTTGTCTTGTGCCTAATTTTAAAGTAAAGCCCTTCAATTTTTGGCCATTTAGTATGATACTGGCTGTTGGTTTGTCATAGATGGCCTTTATTATGTTGAGGTAAAGACCATCTATTCCAATTTTCTGTAAGGTTCTTACCATAAATGAGTGTTGTAGCTTATCAAAAGCTTTTTCTGCATCTATAGAAATGATCGTGTGATTCTTACTTTTGACTCTACTGATATGGTGGATTACATTTATTGATTTACATATATTGAACCATCCCTGCATACCTGGAATGAATCCCACTTGGTCATGGTGTATAATTTTCTTGATGACTTGCTGCATCTTATTTGCCAATATTTTATTGAGGATCTTTGCATCTGTGTTCATTAGGGAGATTGGTCTGTAGTTCTCTTTTTCAGTTGGGTCTTTCTCGGGTTCTGGTACTAGAGTAATATTTGCTTCCAGGAATGACTTATGAAGGATTCCTTCCCTTTCAATTTCATTGAAGAGTTTGAGGAGTGTCAGCATCAGGTCCTCTTTGTATTTCTTGTAGAATTCTGCAGTGAATGCATCTGGGCCTGGGCTCTTCTTTGTAGGTAATGACTTAATTACATTTTCAATTTCATGAATAGAAACTGGGTTATTCAGCAGTTTTACTTCTTCTTGACCTAGCTTTGGTACTTCATATGCTTCTAGAAATCTGTTTATTTCTTCTGTGTTATCTAACCTTTGAGAGTAGAGGTTTTTGTTATAGGTGTTGATGATCTTCTGTATTTCTATTGGGTCTGTAGTGATTTCACATTTTTCATTCCTTATTGCATGAATTTGAGCTTTTTCTCCCCCCCTTTTTTAATAAGGTTGGCTAGGGGCTTATCAATTTTATTTATTCTTTCAAAGAACCAACTCTTTGATTCATTGATTCTTTGTATTGTTTTCTTAGTCTCTATTGCATTGATTTCTGCTCTGATTTTTATAATTTCCTCTCTTCTTTTGGCTTTGGGCTTGACTTGCTCTTCTTTTTCTAGCTGTTTGAGGTGTAGCATCAAGTTATTTATTTGTATTTGTTCTGTTTTCCTGATGTGGGAACTCAGTGCAATAAATTTCCCTCTGACGACAGCTTTCATTGCATCCCACAGATTCCAGTAAGTTGTATTTGTGTTTTCATTTCTGTGTAGGTATTGTTTAATTTCCTCTGTGACCCACTGATTACTCAAGAGTGTGTTATTCAGTTTCCATGTGTTTATGGGATTTTCCCGGTATCTTTTATCATTAATTACTAATTTCATAGTGCTATGATCTGGTAACATGCAGGGGATGATTTCAACTCTTTTGCATTTCTTTAAATATGTTCTGTGAGTTAATATACGCTCTATTTTACAGAATGACCCATGTACTGCTGAGAAAAATGTGTATTCTGTTGTTGTTGGGCAGAATAATCTGTATATGTCTATCAATTCCATTTGTTCACAGGTGTGATTCAGTTCTTTTATCTCTTTGCTGATTTTCTGTCCTGTTGATCTGTCCATTGGTGTCAATGGTGTGTTAAAACATCCTGTTATAATTGTATTATTGCTAATTTGGTTTTTCATTTCTGATATTACTTGTTTTATATAACTGGGTGCTTCGGAATTTGGTGCATATATATTTAAGATAGTTATCTCGTCCGCTTGAAGTTTTCCCATAACCAGTATGTAGTGACCTGCTTTGTCTCTTCTGATCATTATTGGTTTGAAGTTCACATTGTCTGCAAACAGAATAGCTACCCCTGCTTTTTTAGGGGGGTTCCTGTTGCATGAAGTGTTGTTTTCCATCCTTTGACTTTCATTTTGTGAGTATCCTTTTGGGTTAGATGGGTTTCTTGTAGACAGAATATGGTTGGATTTTGTTTCTTGATCCATTCCACCAGTCTATTTCTTTTAATTAGTGCATTGAGACCATTTATGTTAATGGTTATAAGTGTTATATATTGGTTTATTAGTGACATGTTATATTTCTGCAGTTGCATCTTTATCTTTCTGTTCTATTTAATTGTCTGCTTTGTTAAGTGGTTTTTTCTTAAGTGTATCTAGACTGTCTTTCAGTATTCTTGGCAGGATTGGCTTGGTGATCATGAATTTCTTCAGCTGTTATTTGTCGTGGAAGTATCCTTTTTCTCCATCAATTTTGAAGGACAGTTTTTCAGGGTACATCAGTCTAGGTTGGAAATCATTTTCCTTTAGGATCTGAAATACTTCACTCCATGCTCTTCTTGCCTTTATTGTTTGTGTTGAGAAGTCTACTGTGATTCTGATAGGTTTTCCTTTATAGGAGATCTGCCTTTTATCTCTGACAGCTTTTATTATTCTATTCTTTTGTTCGATTTCTGGGATGGTGATTTTTATATGTCTGGGTGTAGTTTTATTTTGGTTATGGCTATTTGAAGTTCTATATGCCTCATTGATCCTGATATCAGTTTCCAATTTCATGTTTGGGAAGTTTTCAGCAATTACTTCTCTAAATATCCTCTTGACATCCTTTGTATTGTCTCCTTCTTTTTCATTTACGCTATCAACCTGATGTTGTTTTTCTTTGCATCATCTTGCAGGTGTTGTATTGTTATTTCTTGATTTCTTGTTATTTTTAAAAGATTTTTCCTTTGCTGCTCACTGGCTGCAATCTTGTCTTTGAGGTCTGAAATTCTATCTTCGCATTCATTCAGGCGGTTTTTACAACTTTCAATGTTGCTTTTGATTTCCTGTATATCACTTTGCATTTGTTTTATATATTCTGTTTGTTTCTTATATTGTTCATCCATAGATTCTATCCTTTTGTTTAGTTCCTCCAATTTTTTTAGCTGTGTCTTTAGATATGTTCAGCATCTCCTTCATTTCTTTTATTATTTCTTCTTTTACCTGATATATTATTTCTAGTTTGAATTCCTTTAAAGCTTCCCGGAGCTGCTTCTTTATTTCTGTTACTATTGTTTCAGGTATTTCAGGTATATGGCATGTATTTTCTTCTATGTACCTGGCTCCTAGGCTTTCTTGGGGGGATGGGTTGGGTGTTTGAGATTGCATTTTGGTCTTTCATTTTGTCATTTTCCTATATTACTGTGTATCAAGTGTTGTTTCAGAGTTTCCCTGGTTGTGTTGTAAATTGACTCTTATGTTCTGGGCTCTTGGGACTCCTCTTGTAGTAGCACCCTCCTTGGGCAGTGGAGCCCCTGCATTAAAAGAGGCTTGCTAGGCTCCTCTCAGGTAGACCTAAAGCTTCCTCAATTTGCACAGTTTCAGGGCCAGATTGGAGTCACCTTAGCTCAGCTGGATGCGCAGCTTCCAGTCCCGAGCGGTGGCAGTATGGGTCCTGGGTGGGAGAGGCAGCAGCAGGGCAGGCCTCCACTCGGCTGGACATGCACCTTCCAGTCCCCAGCAGTGGTAGTTGGGCCCTGGGTGGGAGAGGCGGCAGCAGGGCCGGCCTCCGCTCAGCTGGATGTGCACCTTCCAGTCCCCCAGTGCTCGTAGTATGGGCCCAGGTGAGAGAGGCAGCAGCAGGGCAGCCAATAAGTTTTTAACAACACTATGAGACCGGGTCTGCTGGTGTGGCTTGTAATCCTAGCAGTCTGGAAGGCTGAGTCGGGAGCATCAGAAATTCAAGGTGAGCCTCAGCAATTTAGCCATTTATTAAGGACCTGGCTCAAAACAAGAAAAGTGTTAAAAGGTGAAGAGAAAGAAGCCAATGCAAAGCTCTGTATTCAAATCCTAGAAACTGAACAACAATTTAAAAAATACTTTGCAACTGACACTAGAAGGGTAAATAAATTTTTAAACTGGCCTGGCCTTCTGGAGGGGAGTGTGCCCCAAGTAACTTTAACCTTCCCACCTTTCTTGCAATTTGACTTCAAACAATCATCAAATTTCATGAGGGATCAAACAAAAAGAGAATGTGCTTCAAAGACACCAAGCCTCAATCCTAGTGCAGAAGGCATTTGGAGTGATCTTCTGAAGTGCCTGCTGACCATAGTTAGAAAAGCAGAGAATCTACTAACAGTGTTAATGGGATTTTCAGTCCTATTCACTGTGAAAGAAGTTGCAGGATAGCAAGGTGGCTTAAGTAGAGTGAATCTTTCTACAAAGTGTCTGAAGACCAAAGCCAAACATTTTATTGCATGAATACACAACATTGCTAATAATTGCCAACTCAGGATAATATACACCTGTAATCCCAGCACTCTGGGAGAGGGAGGAATGATGAGGAAAGGTTTAACCCTAGCCTGGGACATTTAGAAAATTAGTGAGACCATGTCTTAAAATTTGTACCAAACCAAAGCTTTTACAAATGTATGAAAATATTGATCTTTAATAAATCTAAGAAGTCACTGAAGAAGGTACATTAATCACTATTAATCTATACTTATTTTATCTTTTTATAGACTTAAAAATTGTATCTTTATATGATTCTTATTATTATATCAAAATAAAAATAGTAATCCATTGCTCAAATTCTGGTATTAAATATAAATTGAGGACAGAAACAAAAACCAAAATGATCAAAATCTCTTCATACTGAACTACCCAAATCCTAAGAGGATATATTCAGCAGCATATCTGCAGTCATCTAAGTAAAAAGCCTTAAAAAATTGAAAGAGTACAAACACCAGGAAGCACATCAATGTCTCCATGATGGTAAACCTTATGCTAGATGTGCTGACTAAAGTACACATGCAAGACAACCTCACAAAGATTTCTCACTAGAAAGTCTATTTTTGACTTTTCATTTTTATCATTTTTTTCTCTCTTTCTTTTTTTTCAGACAGGGTTTTGCTATGCTGTTCAGTCTGGCCTTGATCTTCCCTCGTAGCCCAGGATGACCTAAAACTCACCACAAACTTTCTGCCTCAGCCTTCGGACTCCTGGAATAACAGGTGTGCAACAACATCCCTGATTGTGTTTTCCTCCTTAAATTTTCTCCAAAAAAAATCCTCAAAGTTTTTGATATTCCAAAGCTCATTAGGTTGCTCATACAAAACCAAATCAGAAAGTACTGAAAACACCCTGAAGGACTTTCAAAATCCTCACCAACATATAACATAATATAATATAACAGAGCATAATATAGTATAGCAAAATAACACAAAACAAAATAAAAAAAGAACCACATAACTCTGCTTTAAACATCTGCTTAGAAAAATACAGCAAGAATTTCTAAGTTATCCATACACCAGCAATATGATGCATTTTCTTTGAAATAAATGTCGGTATCCACTCAAATGCTTATGTAAGAATGGGTGTGGCAGCTTCCTTTTGAAATCCGACCCAAAACATAAAAAATGGCCATCACAAGATGGATGACAGGTGCATGTGCTTGGTTCAGCCACATAATTGTGGGTGGTTGCAGCACATAGAGAGCCCAGTATGGAAACACTGCTTCAAGGAGACCAACCAAAGAGTATTACAACTGAAAAGGCTCAGCACCATCACCTCTAGGAAAGGCAAACTACCCATCAGGGACACAAAGCCCATGGTCTGATTGGGATGGGAGGAAAGGAAGTAACAGCAGCAGCTAGGAGACAAGTTGCCAGGAGTGATGCACATGTGTCCTTCATGAGGACAGGGTGATGATGTCACCTCCCCTTGTACTCACCACCTGCTGTCCCCCCTCCCTGGGGGTCATAGTTTGGAGCACTACAGTGTACAGCTGAGTTGAACATCTAAGGATGAATAATCATTCCTAAGCACGTGAGAGTAAAACTGGCTATGAATCCTCCTCCCCTGGATATATGGGGTTTATAACATGAGACCTTCACATTGTTTGGTAAAATTATTATGGCTATTCTGCTTCCTAATGGAACTGAAATTAAACTAACATAAGCCCAAGAAAGGAAGTCATCCTAACATTTGACAAATCTTCAACAGAAGACAATGAGTCTTTCATCCTCCGAGACAATGGACCCTTTGAATGGACATTTGTATTTGGCACCCAGCCTGACACATCTGAAGCATCTACATGTTTGCTGCATTAAAATCTTCGAAGTGCAGGAAAGTCTAAAAGTGTACACAGTTTTCTAGCATTTTCACTTGTTGTTTCTAAGGAGGACATAGATTTGTTCCACAACAAAAAGAAAGGTGATATCACAGAAGAAGGCCAAACTGCGGACCCCAGTGCATGACCTCACTTCCTTGGCGATAGGTCCAAACAGAACTCTGAAGGCTTAGGTCACCTGCCACCTTGGTCTGATGACAGTTGGTCTTTACAGACAATTGGCTCAAGACAGTGAGCAGGGAGCAGGTTAGGCTGCTTTCCCAGGACACGAGACCCCAGCCTCAGGATCCTGCATAGGGAGACTATGTGGGAATGGCTGAAAAAATGGTTCTCTCATCCCAGAGCCTTCAGGGTGCTTGTGGGCAAATGCCAAATGACAAGGGCATTAAAGGACAGGGTTCACTGTCCCCGGCCTTCTGGCACCCAGAGGAAGGAGAGAGACCAGGACAGGTGTTACTAGACTCAGCCACAAGCCACTCAGACTCACTGAGTCCAGCAGAGTAACATTAAGGCCTGACCACCACTGTGAATCCCACTACACAATTCCTGCCCTAAGTCAAGGGTGGCTGGGTCTGACATGCTCTGAGGGCAGATACTCATGGGCAGGTGCAGGTCTGGGGGGGATGCAAGCCGGGGCCACTGTCAGGTTCCCACCCAAGACCGGGCTGGTGGAGCAGAAAGGCAGCACCTCTGTGTAATCCAGTCTCCAGATTCCTCTTCTGTCTTCCTGGGTAGAAATATGGGAAAGAGCTGTCTGTCTTACAGAAATATAAGATTATCTGTGTTCACAAAGAAAAACCTGTGTTGCCTCAGAGTCTCAGAGCCTCTGGCTTCGTGCCAGAGGCTTTGCTCTGCCTCAGCAGAGTGGCATATAGGACACCAGTCTAGAGGCGGTCACAAAGCTATGTGTTCCATGGATTTGCAGCAGACTCTGGGACTCACAACAGGTGCTGGCTCAAGCACAAAATGTGTGTACAGAAAGGAATATAAAGACTCTCAGATGACAGAGAGTATCTTCAGGTCAGTGCTACACTGTACTTAACTTTGAGAATTTGCATGAAACTCTAGCCAGGGTTATTGACCCTGTGATTATACATGGAAATTTTAAAAATGTTTTCTAAGGAAAGTAGAAAAAGAAACAGTTATGTACAGCTATGTTTCACTGCAGTACACTGACAGCTCTGAACCCAGCAGACAATGTCATGAGGCTGGTGATATGCACATCACCACCTCAATAAGGCCGAAGTTTCTACAAATGCTGGAGGTAAAATATGGAAATACTTTAACAACAAAAACAGTTGAAATAAAATATCCTAAATATGCACTTAATATACCATATATAAACTAGGCCTGGTGGCTCTTGTGTGGAGTCCAGTACTTGAGACACTAAGGAAGGAGAATTGTTTGAGACCACTCTGGGTTATAATGTGACCTCAAAGCCAGCCTGAACTTCATAGCAACATGCATCCAAAAAAAGATAAATACATCAAATCTAATGAACGTAATAGTGTACTAGTGATGGCCTTGTGACATTAGCATCACTATCATATTTATACTGACCTGTAGTCTACTGGAAAACCTAAGTCACAGCCAAATTCACAATAAAATATCACACAGTTTATCAAATGGAGTACACTAGTGAGTATTTGTTGTTCATCATTGGTATTTGCTGGGGATGGAGCAGTGCTTGCTGCTGCTCTCCACAGAAAATGGAATATTGCTGTAGGAACATGAATCTCCATGAATCACTGCAATATGTCCTTAACTCTTTGGGGAAGAAACCCACTAATGGAGGCACTGCACTAATGAGAATTACTAATTTTAGTCTTTTGAATACTTTAAAAACTGACTTCAGTAGTAGCTGAACTACTTAACTACATTTCCACCAACAAGGTTAAATAGTTCCTTTTCTCCTGTAGTCTTCTGAATGTTCTTTAGATCTTATGGTGATTAGTTCTCTATGCAATGAAATGATGTCCCTATTTGCATTTCTCTATTGTGCAAAAATGCTCAATAGTTCTTCAAGTATTTCTTGGCAATTTGTACATAGTCTGAAAAATGTGTGTTCCTTTCACATTCCTATTGGTTTTACATGTTAGCTGTCAGGGAGTAATAGGCAAAATTTCTCTCATTCTGTAGTTTATTTCTTCATCATTTTGGTTTGACTTTTTTGTGGCATCTATGCTTATGCAGGAGGATTAAAATCTTACAAAGTCCTTTTTGCAAGTTTTGTCACCCTATCTTATTTTCTACACAAAACAGCAGCAATAGTATTTTAAAAATGTTTTTTAATACCTCTACATTCAGAACATGGAATGTCTGGCTCTTTCATGTTTCACTATGTTTTACTCCAATAGAGGCATATTTCAGAC